GAGTGCTAGCCCTGTCAAGGCACCCAGGAAGGTTTCCAGATCTCCCTTCAAGGTAAAATCTTTGATCTTGATCTGTCAAGGTGATGTTTTTATTTTGTGTTTTTATTAAAAAAACAAAACACAGTTGTTTGTCAGAATCTGACTTCCTGATCTGATTAGGTGCTGGATGCACCTGCTTTGCAAGATGATTTTTACCTGAACCTTGTCGACTGGTCTTCCAATAATGTTTTAGCTGTGGGCTTGGGGAACTCTGTGTATTTATGGAACGCATCTAGTGGCAAGGCAAGTTCTTTGTTTCCAGATATGGTCTCTCTGCTGGAGTAGTGATCGGAAATGTGTATTTTCTTTGGCTCTTATATGGATTTTAATTTGATTGATATCAAATGTGTATTCAGGTAGTAAAGTTGTGCGATTTGGGAGCTGAAGACAATGTTTGTTCAGTTGGATGGGCAAGCCGCGGCACACATCTTGCTGTTGGAACCAACGCCGGGAAAGTCCAGGTTAATTCTCATAACTTTTCTTAGTAGTTTTTCAATCCTTAATGTAAATGTGTAAGATTTGGTGATTATCATTGGACCTAGCTATCTATATCAAAAAAGGATGCTAAAGCATGTCTATGCACCTTTATTCCACTTCTTTCTAATAAAGTTACCACTACCCAGTACCTAGTTGTTGGTGACACTTTCATTGTTTCACATATTTCTTTTGTGTTCATGACTCTTTGTTTGGGTCACAGGGAGTATATATGAAGTTCCTAACTACCTCCTACGCAACTTTTTAATGGTGCCTTCTGCAAGTGAAACATACATCTGTGGGGAATATTGTTTTTGTAATTACTTGTTAGATATTTTACGAAGAATAAATATTCAACATTGATATGAGCATTTCTCTTCACTGTTTTATTGGATCAAATGCATATATTTGAGAAATGCCCAGAACTTTTGATATCTAAAGCTCCGTTGGCACATTATTATTAAGTAATTCCACACATCATTGTGCAGATATGGGATGCTTCTCGGTGTAAGAGAATAAGAACAATGGAAGGACATCGATTACGAGTTGGAGCACTAGCATGGAGTTCTTCTGTTTTGTCTTCAGGAAGCCGTGACAAGAGCATTTTTCATCGTGATATACGGGCTCAAAATGATCATGTCAGTAAGTTAACTGGTCACAAGTCAGAGGTATTTATCTTTGCTGTTTTCTAATTGCTTGCAGGAAGCATATGCTTTTAGTGATATTGTTCTAACTTGTGATACTATTGGAGTTAGGTATGTGGATTGAAGTGGTCATATGACAACCGGGAATTGGCTTCAGGTGGAAATGATAACAGAGTATGTTTTGTTTTAAATCCTTGTTTTATGATTGGTTAATTACGAAAAGAAGAAACTTGATTGAATGTTCTACATCTGTAGCTTTTTGTATGGAACAACCACTCAACACAGCCTGTGCTGAAATATTGTGAGCACACTGCCGCTGTGAAGGCAATTGCATGGTCACCCCATCTTCATGGCCTTCTTGCTTCCGGTGGTGGAACAGCTGACAGATGCATTCGCTTTTGGAATACTTCCACTAACACTCATTTGAATTCCATTGACACTGGAAGCCAGGTGATAAGCTCTTCTTCATTTTAGGTTTATCAAATTCATGAGAAAAGCATTTTTACAATTTGCTGATGCATATATATTTTGCTTGCAAGTGGAATGGAATCTGACTTTCTGTTATTCCTGTATCTTTTCCATTTCTCCATTCTGATTGTTCAATTATAGATTAGGCAATGCTTGTTTCTTATACAAGTAAAAATTAATACTCCATCCCGAAATATTTGACATTTTAGAGAATTGCACACACATCAAAGGACCTAACAGAATGGCTTAAATACCTAAGATTAACTATTAATTTCTTTTTATTTCTTTTCAATGTACAAAAGCATTTAATATAGGGAAAATTAGTATGGGTAAAGTCAGAAGATTAATAAATAGATGGCACTCCTAAACCGATATTTATTTTGAGACAATAAATTGGGCAAGGTGTCAAATAGTTTAGGACAGAGGGAGCAATAAGCAATGTCGGGATGATGAGTCTGACTGAATGAGAAATTGAGAAGGGATGCACATGAGCATTAACCATTAAGTCTGTGGCAATACTCCATGGGTACAGAGCAATTCTTTTTTCGGAGAACCTAACCTATATACTTCCTCTTTCATAGGTTAGAAGTTTGAACATTCTGGGGCAAATGTGTTGATAATATAACTACATGATGAAGGGGATATAGAGAAAATTATTTCATCAAAAAGGGAAGGGTGAAAAGCTCATTCTTGAACAAAAAATGGAAGACTCATGAATAATTTTATATTATTTCAAAAAATAAATTTTAATGAGTAATGATCATACTATTTTATATTTTAGACAATCTGTTACTGCTGACTATGTACATTGTTTTGAGCGCACACATGATGACAACAAAATCATTGTAAATAAGGTGCATGCTACCAACATGTGCTGGAGTTGGTTGGATTTTTCTCTTACATATTATTATCTTGGCAGGTCTGCAATCTGGTATGGTCTAAGAATGTGAATGAGTTGGTCAGCACACATGGGTACTCCCAGAACCAAGTTATAGTTTGGAGATATCCTACAATGTCAAAGGTTGTTCTTTTTCCTAAATTTCTCAATATGCTTTACAAAATTCACCACCAACATAAAGGCTTTTCTTTACTTTCTTCTACCATTTATTCAAAGAAAAAGCCCTTTTCCCGGCTGTAATTGCAGGTAGCAACCCTGACTGGGCACACATATAGGGTCCTCTACCTTGCCATCTCCCCGGATGGGCAGGTAATATAATCAAACCCCCTCGATTTATTTTTCATCTTAATTCTAATCACACACAAAGAAATAAAGAAAGATTGATTAAGAACAAAATCAATCCCAAATAGGCTATATCAAGGTTATGCTTATTACGGGATTCATTCTTTCATTTTTGCTAATGCCGTGTCTTTATCTTACTCTCAAATTTGCAGACTATTGTGACGGGGGCGGGAGACGAAACACTTCGGTTCTGGAATGTGTTTCCTTCCCTTAAATCTCAGGTAGGAAGATTTTCTATTTCCTATTTTCGATCAACCACAACTATATTGCAGTTCTCACTTTTAGTCCCGACTTTCGCATTTTTTCCCTTTTCATGCACGGCAATGGATTACTTTCACATTGTCCCGTCATAAGTAATCCGTGTTTCATTAAATAACGTCGAATAACGCGGATAAAATGTTTTGTTGCAGAACACGGAGGGTAACATCGGATCATCTTGTCTGGGCAGAACCCAAATCCGGTGAAAATTTTTCCTCACCTTTCCCCAGATATGCATGCACTATTATAGAGAAAATTTTACAGGCATACAGAGGTGATGATCTCTCTCGCCTTCGCCTTTTTTTTTTTGCTCGACCCGATTCGGATCAGAAACAGGCGAAAACTGTATACTGGGAGGAGAAGTTATTGCTTACCCCGGAATATTATTTTTATATATATATTTATTAAACTAAATATATAAAGATCAATAACATATCCTCTCACATTCTGTAAAAAAAAGAGTATAGAGCTAGAAACACTTATGGGTCTCTGTCAAATATCCAAAATTTTCCACTGCTCAGTGCTATTCTTTCCTAGGTTGTCTTTATTTACTGCTGATGACAAACATTTGTGTAATTTTTTTTAAATAATAAACAATGTCTTGGCTAGCATGCCAAACTACATCTTGTTGGATATGGGTATTTCTTTGATAATTTATAACAATAAGGCAGAGGACAAAAATTTCTTGAGAAATACTTATCAGCTGGTCCAATTGAAAGTTTAGTCATCCAATTCAAGAAAAGTGCATAATGCTCCATAACCTGGCTCAACCCATTAAGAAATGGGCAAACGTCTAAGAATTTTGCATTTTTTAAACATTAATTTCTTGATTAATATAACCATGTATTTGTCTAGTCTCATTTATCAAGGGACACATACAAAATTAGCTAGTCATTCTCATTCCTCTACATTATTCTATTTGTATCCAATTAATGATGTTATGATTGTCATATTATAATTGTTTTTATTTAAAAATGTCTTAATTTACAAAATAAAAACATACATTTCTATTTTGGAGACAAGGGCCATGTTTTCTTTTGAAAAGCATCATGGATTAAACTAAAGGAGAAATAATATCTAGGGGATACACCGGTCCACTCCTCACACTCTGAGTAGAATGAGAAATCCGCGCCAATAGGTGCACAGTCTCATAAGCATAGCAAGGAACACAAGCAAAAGTGAAATCTTTGTCACAAAGAGAGAAAATCTTTGCAATCAATAATAATATTACTCCGTAATAAGTACGACCAATCATTCATAGAACTCTTAAGAGCATCCACCACATCTTTGCAATCTAACTATCACTCTTGGCAAACCTTTCAAGTTTATCCAACTCAAAACCTCTTTGATTGCCATGGCTTCCGCTTCCCATGCTCCATAGTGCCCTCTTTGTGAAATGCTCTTTATAGCAATAAATTGACACTCATGACCTCGCGCAAACCCACCCATTAACATTAACTTTAATAATGCATACTGTAGAATTTGTTCAAGATCCACTTCTATCTTCTTGTAGTTGTTTTGAAGTCTGATCATAATTAACTATTTGACACCAATCAAGGAAAGCACGTCTAGCCTTTTGTCAAGTGCCTTGCACTGAAGTTGGGGCACCAAGCTAGATCGTGTTGTTCCAATGCTAGAATGTCGAATGTACATTGTTCCAAGCCATCTTACCCAGCATAGCTAAGTTGAAATCATGCACCTTCTCGAAATGGAGCACACCAACAAACTCATGTCGACTCCTTCTTGACCAACTCATCCAATGAATCCCACGTCGAACTTGACCACCACGACCCCACCCGAATTTGGTCATCATCCTCTCTAAATCCATGCGCGGGGCAACAAGAAAAGGGACGTGGCATAAGGGAATCGGCTTGAGCTCCCCCACCACTTTTTCGTCCACAGCTTCAAGATAATCTGGAATTATGCTTGAGTTGAGGTGTTGAGTGAGGAGTAAAAATTTTATTAAAAATATTTTTAGTTAAATATCGTAAAAAGATAGAGGGAATTCTATAAACTTTTGATACTCTCTTCATTCATTAATTTTTTTAACACTTTCTTTTTTGAGTCATTCAAAGATTTCTTTTTTCGTTTCCCTTTTTAGGGATAAAATTTAATTTTAATGAATGTAACATTATATCCTCACTTTTTTATTACATTATTTACTTTATTTCATCACGTCAAAAACAAACATAAAAAGTCTTTACAATTTTTAACTTTTCTTAATCTTCGCATCAAATATAATAAAATCAAAAAAGAAATTTATGCACAGAGGGAGTATGACAGATTTTAATAGAATTAAATAATTAATTAAAAATAACACTCATAGACCTGACAAAGAAAGTGGGAGGGAAAGAGTAAGAAATACATATAGGGGGTATATACATAACTGATCTATTATATATATATATATATATATATATATATATATATATATATATATATATATATATATATATATATATATATATATATATATATATATATGAGCGTCTAAAATGACACCAGTTACTTATACACCAGTTGCTTACACCAGTTCGCTTGGAGTACCTACAGTACTCCGTTTGTAAAAAAGACGGTTCCTACCCTCTCTAACCCTCCCCCTAAACCCCCCACCCCAGCCCCCCTCCCGCCCCCCCTCCCTACCCTGGAGGTGTACTGCCAGGGTTAGGGGATAGGAACAGTCTTTTTTACAAACGGAGCACCGTAGATACCCCAAACGAACTGGTGTAAACAAATGACACCAGTAGCACTGGTGTCATTTTAGACATTTTAGACTTACTATATATATATATATATATATATATATATATATATATATATATATATATATATATATATATATATAAAACATCAAATCACCATCATCTAAATATATAGGTGCTACGTAGAAGAATCTGGAAAGCCCTCTAACTGCGGGGGCGGGCCCGCAGTGGGATTCGACAACGGAATCGAACTCGTCACCGGGAAGCAGCAATCGCAAACTTCCGGGCACGGCTTCGGCACGTCGCCGGAGGCAGCGGCATTGAAAGGCCGCCGATGCGGAGGGGCGGCAGCCTCCTTTAGCGGGCCCCAGCACTCCACCTTGTTGAATTCCGGCAGGTTGGAGTGGAAGTATACCCAGACCGAAGCTTCCTGTAGTTCCGGGTGATTCTTCAACAAGCTCTCATCTCCATGGACAAAAGCCTTCAAAACCTTCCATTTTACACAACAAACAAAAAAAAAACTGTTACCAATTATCCCATGTCTGTTAATTATGAATAAATAAACTTCCAAATAAATACTCCCCTTATAGATATATCAATAAAAAATAAAAATTACATATTAAAAACTACACAAAAATTCTACTCCTTCCGTTCCACAAAACTCTTCTTCTTTCGTTTTTTTGTTTTCCACAAAATACTTCCACTTTTTATAAAAAAACCACTTTTACCCCTACTTTTTCATACCCTACCTATCACATCATACTTTTTCACTAATAACCAAACTATCACATCTTACTTTTTTCCATCACATCAGAGGCAAAATTGGAAAGTCAACCAAAATTACACTTTCCTTATTTTTCCCCAAAATCAAAACCGAAAGCCTTTTGTGGAACGGGAGGAGTACAAAACAAAAGACGACATGAATATTTTATTTTATCAAATAATCAAAGAAAACACACAAACAAACAACAACAACATCACAGTTGAATCTCACTACAGTAGGGTCTGGAAAACACACAAACAAACAAAACTTAAAAACGAAAAAATAAAATGGTAATTAAAATGGGGACGGGGGAGTTTAACATTTCTAATGTGCTAAACTACTTTGTCTTTTTGAGTCTAATATGATAAACTTTGAACTTCATTAAATAAAAACCATTACGTATATTCGTATAAAAACATCTTTATTAGGTTTGTTTTGTAGAAAATTTTTAAAATTTTATTTTATTAATATGTAATACAAATTTAGAATAATTGATGATTAAAGTTAGCCTAATTTAGCTTACGAATACACAGGAGTATCTACATTCGTTTATTTTTTTCAATGTATCAAGAAAATCATAATAGTCTCTTAAAAAGAAATGAATGAAGTATAAAAGGTAATTTACTTAAATAAAACTAAAACATGACTTTCTCAATATGGAACTATATGTTTTTATTTATCAATGTAGGACCATTGGTCATTATCTATTAGTCATTATTCAACTAAATGTCCAACATCACTTGGCATTATTCTTCTCACTAGACATTATTAAATCATATTTAGGGAATAAAAAAGTTTAAGTCCTATATTGGGAAGACTTATGTTTGAGTCCTATTCAGTGCAAATTTTACAAGTATAAAATAAACCTCACCATATCTTCATTTAATTATTATTTTTCAATGTATCAAGAAATGATCTTATTACATAACCTGACATGTATTCATGATAATGGACACCCTATGCCTTATGAAAAAACTCTTGAAAGAAAAAAAGAAAGAAAGAAGTTGATGTTGGTTGAATTGACAAAGATTGTATGTGTGAAATCTTAGATAGGAGACTCACCACAGGGAGTTCTTTGGAGAAGATGAAGTACCTAAGCCTAGCACAAAGATCAAGCAAGAAATGGCCTCCACTTATGTGGCAATGGACATGGAGTGACATTTTCCCCTTCACCTTCTTCCACTCTGCAACCACCTCATCTCTCTGCAACCTGTTATACCACCCTTGCAACTACAAACCAAACCAAACCAAACTAAACTTTTTTCATTCTTCTTCTTCTTCTAATTATAATAATTATAATTGATTGGAGTAGCTAATCGATTGGATTCGATAAACGAACCTGGGAATTGTTTATGGTTTGGGAGATGGCAAGGGTGAGCTTGGAAGTTATGTCACTGTGTGTTAGTGTGTATGTTCTTGGAATCTTTTCTGGGTGCTTCTCCTTATCAACACCCAAATACAGAACCTTTAGCTTTGATGCTTCAAATATGGCTGGCCCAAATAGCCTTGCCACCTGAAATTCCCCCAAAATACAGAAAAAAGATCCAATCTTTAATCATTGTTCCCCCCAAAACACAGAAAAAAGATGCAACCTTTACATAATGTTTGGTTCAAAGAATTTTGAAGGAAAAGAAAAGAAAATGGTTTTCTCGCCAAGAGGAATTTGGTTTTCCCTCCCCTTCATACATTTTGCCTTCTCATTTTCTTTTCTTTTCACTTTTCCTTTCTAACCAAAGAAAAAAAAACTTATTTTCCACTTCATTTTCTTTTCTTTTCCTTTTTAAATTCCTTGAACCAAACATAGTGTTAATCATCATACCCCCAAACACAGAAAAAAAGATTCAATCTTTATTCACTAATTCCCCCAAGAAATTCCATGAAAATCTGAAAACAAGATAAACAAGAGAGGGATTTACAGGAACTGTGGATTGGGTCTTGTTCTTGATTCCGGCAGACTCTCTTGTTCTGCAGAAACAGATCTCAGGCTTTTGCTTCCCTTGAATCACTGCCGATGATGCCGATAAACTGCCCATATTTAATCTCCAAGATTTGCCCAAGAATTTGCAGATCTTGCGAAATTTCGAGAGGGTGATTAAAAAGAAGAAACAGAAGGTTAGGTATCTTAGCTGTGTAGATTGGTTGCTGTTATTGGGAATCTTTGGTTTTCTTTGGATTGTAATTGTTTCTTTGCTTTTGCTTGGAGGCGCAAGCTATGGTGATTGGGGATTGGGTTTGGGTTAACTTTAAAGGCACAGACTTTCTTGCGGCGTGTAGAAGTGTGTGTGTGACTGTGGTGCTTTATTGCGTGAAGGTCTGAAAGATAAATCAATTACGGATTTACACAAAGGTGGAATGCCCATCCGGCCCCTCGGGTCCCACACCACACCCGGGCTCAATAGACATGTGAAGATTAAATCACACGGACTACTATAATTTCAATCTGATTTTTAGAGGGACCGTACTACAGTGCACCCACCCATGCCTTCTTTGCTGTCTCCCTATATAAGGTGTTTTTTACCTTTTCTCCTTTTTTTTCTTTTTTTTTCCTTTCCTCTACGTCGCTATGGCTCTGCTCTTCCGCGGCAGCGACCCGCTCCCTTCTCCCTTTTCTGCGCTCTCCTTCTTACAAGGCGGCATGTAATCTCTTTTTTGTCCTATCTTCCTCTTCATATCTCTGATGCGCCAACCCCTGTAGCACGACAATTCCTCTGTCAATCTCTTCTCTTCATTCCATTTTAGTCAATTTCTATGGCAATAATTTTTTGAATTTTTGTAGAGTACATAGGATATTTGGTGATTATGGACTTACAAACATCTATTGTTACACATGTTGAGAATGAGCAACCACATGATTTTGGTGGTGAAGAAGAAGACCTGGTTTTATATGAGTTGCAGCCCAGTTGTAAGTGTTGATATTTAGACCTCATTCTATATTCATTTGAAGTAGTGAAAAAAACTGTTTTGTTTTCGTGTTACAGAGATTAAAGTTCTGTGAATCTAGGGTTTGTCCTTGTCACAGACGCTAATTATCTGTATGCACTCTGCATTTGGTGTATTATTGTTTTCTTCATAGTCAGGTATTTTATTATATTAAAGGTACTGTTTTTTGCAGCTGTTGAGCCAGATTTGTTTCTAAACGATCCTTGCTTTCAGTATTTATTTAACGACGAAGGGCAAGAACAGGCGAGTGGTGAGATTCCACAGAACACAGATGACATTAACAATGATGTCCGGAACAATGGTCAATGCCCTTCTAAAGGAAACAAAGGTAGCGTGCCTGAAGTGGGGATGAAGTTTACAAGCATTGGAGAAATTCGAGAACACTATCTGGCTTATGCTCGAAGTGTAGGATTTCCAATGCGGACGAGGAAAACTCGCAAAGCCAAAGATGGAACTCCTAGAAGTGTTACATTTATGTGCAGTCGACAAGGAAAAAAAAGAGCAAAACACAAGATGTGTTCCACCCGAGGCCGACAATGCAATTGGGATGTGAAGCAAGAGTAACTGCCTCATGTGATGGTGATGGAATATGGAAGATCTCTGTTGTGCAGTTATTGCATAACCATGACTTGAGTCCTACTAAATCTAGAATATATCGTTGTAAACGTAGTGTGCCTGCTAGTGTTAAAAAGCAGCTTGAGGTTAATGACAAGGCAGGAATTCCCTTGCACAAGAGTTTTCAAGCGGCTGTTGTGGAAGCGGGTGGATATGAAGAACTTGGCTTTATAGAGAAGGATTGTCGAAATTACATTGAAGAGTTTAGACGATTAAGACTTGGCCTCGGAGATGCAGAGGCAATACAAGGATATTTTAACAAGA